GGGGGCGGGGCGCCTGCCCCGGGGGCGGGGCGGGCCTGGGAGCTGGGTTCTCTCAGTCCGCCGTGACTCCGCGTGGCGTGTCCTCCCGGGGAGTCGCGCCGCCACCCCTTCCGCAGCCCAGCGCCCGGCACCCCCTCGTGCTGTGATCACCGGGGCCTCGCTCTGGAGCCTCCGTGCCTGCTGGCTGCAGAGTCGGGGCACCCAGAAAAGTGTCACCTATTTACTATTATTGAACCAGTTGTTTACCTTGTTCCAAGTCCGTGCTGGGCAATCGTGGAAGGAACTGCAGAGATCACTCTAACGGGCTTTTTCTTCTGGTTGCACGAGCCAGCTGGGGAGTGCTGCGTCGGGGCACCACATTTTACAGTGGTTCTCAACCTTCCTAATGCCTCGACCCTTTAATACAGCTCCTCATGTTGTGGTGACCCCCAATTTCATTGTTACAAATTGAACATAATTAAAGCGTAGTGATTAATCACAAAAACAATATGTAATTATATATGTTTTCCGATGGTCTTAGGCGACCCCTGTGAAAGGGTCGTTCGACCCCCAAAGGGGTCGCGACCCACAGGTTGAGAACCACTGCTTTAGGATTTAGAAGGTCCATGGAAGGTAGTGAATAATAAACGTTTGTGAACCATTTTCTGTGTGCCTGAAACTTTATAAGAATGATCTCCATTTCAATAGGTTGAGTAAAGGGAGACAGGAAACAAGGAGAGAAAGATAAGGAGAACCAAAATTGTGGTGGGAGAAGTAGCCAAGGCACAGGACGCAGGGGTCCCAAGATGCCAGCGGCGGAGTTTGGATCTTATTCATCTCGCAGGATGGACGGAAAGGGGCAGAGCCATCAGAGCAGACAGGGAGATCCATTAGGACAGAGCAGGGTAGGGTTGAAGACGGGCCCACTTTGGGGCTTTGTGTCCCCCTCTGACTCCAATCCCCTCCTGCGCTTTGGCTCCAAGACTGGCTGCAAACATGGATCCTTACAAGTGACTCATCTGGGTTCCCTACTGCTCTGAACAGAAGGTTCAAGGCCAGAGTGTCAGCGGTTTATTATGCAAACCACTGCTGCCCTCACCACCAGCAGCTGGCATTTCACAGGCATGAGTTCATTCTGCGCTTAATCACTTACAATGGCACCCATCGCTCCCAAGGTCTGTCTATTCAGTCCTCAAGGCCTGTACTGCATGCACTTTCTATGCAGTTTGAAAGAGCTTGTCCTTGCCCCCTTCTCTCTCAGAGGCAAGAGAGAAGTATTTTCACCACGGCCCTCATTCAAGCCTCTCTACTACCAAGGCTGAGGTTTAGAGCAACAGCCTACATCTCCTGGAAGGCTGGGCACTAAGTGTGGCGACACGGGGTGAAGAAGGTGTTTTCTTTGTAAGGTACAAGCACTCAAACTGTTCCCTGGCTGTGTCCCTGGCAGGAAGAAGAGGGAGGATGTGTTCATGGGGGTGTACAGTGTCTTTCCCTGATGCACTCAACAGGCCTGAGCAGAAAACACTTTGTCCTGATGTGACAATCTGTGAGCATCTTTACCCAGCAGGTGTGTGTGGGGTGGAGGCAGGGTGGTTGAAGAGGAGAAAGGGGCCCTTGGAAGGTGGCTGAGGACTCTGGTTGGCGCTCTCTCAAGTCTCCCAGACACAATGAAATGAAGGCTTGTCAAGGTGAAAGTTCCCTTGGGCAGGAAGCCAGTAACAGAGAAAGAGCTGTTAGTAGGAAGTAGGAATCAGTTTGTACATGAAAGAGTATTTATTGAAAACATGTTACTGACAGGAAGCTCCTGGCTGCTCTCACGTTACAATCTTGGCTCACAACTGGAAGTGTTACTTTTTTTTTTTGCTTCCAATTTTATAATTCCTCAAACATTCCATCCTAAGATAGGTAGATCTTATATAAATATATATACACGTCTGTATAAGTATGGCCTATAGTAAAGAAAATATATAGTACACTCTTCATTGGGTAGTACCTACCATGCCAGCTACCAAAACTGAATGCCACTGTGTTCACATACGTCCAAGGAGAGAGGCTGTGCGTGTGGTCTACAAGTGCGGCAGCACCAGGAAAGGCCATTGGCACAGCTGTGGCCTCCAGCCAGCTCCCTGAAATCATGGCCAATGGCAGGGACCACAGCACTGGGATGGGAAGGAAGGGAAGCCGAACTCCCCGAGGTCTGGAAGGCCAAAGGAAAGCCACCTGGAGGGCTGCACTGCAGGTTAGGTGGGAGGTCTCTCCTGGAGGAAGGGAAACATGTAAGTGAGGGGAGGGGAGGTGACTCTAGTGACCTCACCACAGGCTAGGCCCAGGCTCACCCTGGCTCTCCCTGCAGAGTCTGGAGACTAAGAGGGTGGGACTCAGCCTTCATGTCTCTGACTTGCCAGGATGGGAGATTGTGAGCTTGTAGGGAGACATTTCCATGCCCAGACAACTGCGTGGGCAAGAGAGACCTGGTGGATCCCGAGACGAGATGTTAGTGCCGAACCTCAGCAGCAGCGCATGTTGGCGCTGTTTGAGGCCGGAGTGAGCCCTCACAAAGACGACAAAAGCAAGGGCAAGGCCTCCACTTAGATCTGAGACACAGGCACGAGGTCACCCAAAGGCAGTCTCTGCAAGGCTCTCAACATGCCCAGCCCTGTCCTCTGCAGGCAGCCTTTCCTGGGCCAGCTCTTGCCCACATGGGAGCCAGCTGACCACTGGGGAGCAGGCTCAGGAAGAAAAGGTGAGTGGCTGTTGTTAAATCCAGCTCAAAAAGCAGTCTCTTGGCCCGAAGAGCAAGGACATTTGCTGTTCATTCCTCATGGCCTGAAGCCAGGCTCCACAGTGATGGGGAGGGCAGAGCACCTGCCTTCATGACTCATGGTGGATGGGGACCAAGAGGAAGCTCTGGGTGGTCAGGGGTGGCCTGAGGAATGGTTGGCACTTACTGGCCACCATGGTCCCTACGGATTCTGTACAAGTAAAAGACAAGGCACCAGACTGAGTGTTCCTCCTGGGTCCCAAATGCCTTCCTGGGTGCCGTCGCCTCTGGCTCAGGCTCAGCCATAGTGATACACAAAGTCATAGCTGCTGGGCTCCTTGGGCACCGGCGGGGGCGCTTCCGGGATCTGGACGTTCTCCAGGTCCAGGAGCCGCAGCTTCATCTCCATGCTCAGCAGGGTGTCCAGGTCACTCTTGGTCAGCTCGCTGGACATGTCCTTCCCCAGAAGGGCACTGAGGCCGTCAATCCAGATGCAGTACTGGGGGAGCAAGTTGCAGAACATCAGCAGGGGCCCTGGACAGCAGGAGATCCTGCCAAGGTCCTTTCCCTAGGACTCACTCTGGTCTCTTTTGGAACTACTCAGTGTAGGCAAAACTGGCTTGGGATAATAGCAAAGGTAAATTGGGAGCTGCTCACTTTCTTAAAAGACCTTTTGGGTTTTGTGTTGTTGTTTTTCTCAATGTCTCCCCATTCACAATACAGACCAGGCAAAGAGCCTGAGCTGAGGTGTATATGGGGTGGGTTTACTCTGCCTCCTATTTCTGTACAGTCGGTGTAAGAACACAGGCTGTGGTAAGTACCAGGAGGCCTGACCTTTTGGCTTTTATGGGAGACTGACATTTAAACTCCCTAAAATAATATAAAATATGATTTTAAAAAATACAATTAAAGAACACAGCAAAACCAGACCTGAGAACTGAGGCATCAACTACCTGAAATTGCCCCTGAAATTAGTAATGGGGAGGGGAGAATACAAATTAGGTGAAAAGAACAGGACACAAAAGGAACCACTGTGGGACTCACTTTTGTTTTTAAAAAAGTAAACAAAAACCCCACCCAGTCAATAAATGTTGAAATTAAGCACTAGAGAAACTGAATTGGAGGCCTCATGATGAGAGGGAATGACAGGGACCTCTCAGCCCTCCTTGGCCTCCTGCTCCATCTTTCTCTGTGCCTTTACTCCGTCTCCCTCCCCACCTGCTAGTTCTTCACTTCCTCCCAATAAAGCTCTGCTGTCAGCTCAGGCTTCCCCCCTTCCCCCCAACGGTCTCCTCTTCCAGAAGCCCCGCCTCCAGCTTCCTCTGATGGCTCAGAGCTCCCCAGACACGTGTGGTCTCAACCGCAGTGACTCAGGTAACATCTGGTATCTTCCAGGGCTGCAATTGAAACTGCGAGCCAGTGTCAGCAGGATCAGGGCCATCTGGCTTCAAAGCCCAGGCCAGATCTACTACATATGGCCAGGAGCCCTGAGGAGGGGAATCTGTTAGGTTCCCTAGGTAGGTGGCCACAGAAACTGAAAAGAGGAAACTTTTCCTAGTCCCAGCAAATAAGTTAGTCCTTGTTGGCCCTGTCTTGCTAATGACAACCTACAGCTACTGCTGAAGAGTGACCCGGAGGGCCCAGCTCAGGGGAAAAGGACCCCGGATGGCAGACCTTGTGTCAAACAGCCTTCATGACAGGCTATGGCCTCCTGCTTTAGGGGGACAGGACGTTCCCGTTGTGCCCGCTTCTGCCCTCTGGCTGAAGAATCGCAGAG